GCGTCGGCGCGTCGGCGCAGCGTGCATGAATGTCGCGTGTTGCGCTGCTTCCCTGCAAACGAGGCACGTATGCGCGACGGTACATAACCGAGACGCCCCGCTTTCGCATCAGCTAACAGCCCCGGTTCGCATTGGCATCATGCGCGGACTACCCAGAAGCATCAGATCGGGCACTGTGTCTCCTCGGAGCGAACCCGAACGCGCACAACGCGGGTCTCGTCGACAATTGCAGGGCACACTTGAGCACCTCTCGCTCCCACCGTCACACGGCAAGCCGCTCTCACCGCAATGCCGGGTTTTCTGTCATGCGGTCAACGCATCTCCACTGTGACTGCAAGCAGGCGTGCATCTCGGCGCAGCGTAGCGCACGCTAGTCGCAATCACAGCCCAGCAAGAGTGTTTGTAAGTGTACATACACTGCGCCGAGCGTCTCTGTGCGAGCTAGTTCGCCTTCGATGGAGCACTCGAGGAGGCAATCGGTCACGAATGGGAAGAGAGTGAATGTCGTGGGGGAAAGGTATAAAGAGACCAACTGAACCGTGCATTCATCGCAAATCTTTTCCCCAGACACTTTGTCCACCGCACTCGTCTCTTTACTCCTTCTTTCGGTCTCGCCTCAGCTGGTCTGGGTGGTCCACTCTTCTTCTTCTTCTTCTTCTTCTTTCATCAAGACTTTTTCTTCATTTTTCTTTTTCTTTGCTGCGGCATCTTCATCCTTGCACTTGCAACGACAATCTCGAAGCATTTCTGACAGCCAACGCCAACACACGTACGCTCTCTACTCAACATGACCGCAATTCGCTTCAACTCAGCATTCATCCTCGCCGTCCTGGCTTTCGTCGCTGCAACTAACGCGGCCCCCCTTCCCGTCGAGCATGGCGAAGGCTCCTTCTTCGCGGCCCGTGCTCCATTGAAAGGAGGGTTCGGAAAAAACGTCGGCGCTCAAGCAGTTGGCGGTCTCGCTGGATCTATCCCTATGATGGCCATGATGGGCGCGCCAGCCCTGGGCCTTCGCGATGTCGATGACTCCCTGGAAACA